CTAAATGGACTGTACTTGTATAGCACCTTTCTAGTCTTCCAACCACTCAAAGCGCTTTTACACTACATGCCACATTCAAACGCCGATGACGCAGCATCAGGAGAAATTTTGGGTTCAGTATACTGCTCAAGGATACTTTGACATGCAGCAGCGGGAGCCGGGGATCGAACCCCCCAACCTTCTCATTAGTGGATGACCCACCCTACCTCCTGAACCACAGCCGCCCTAATATTTGGCCAAGTCCGAGACACATCTGAGTGCAAATACCCATGAATAAAAGACAACAGAAAAAACGTCTTGAGTCCAGACTTGTGTCCGAAAAAAGCCTCTTGGGCTTTCTAATGGAGTTTAGGAGGATAAGAGCAAATAAAGCTGCATGTTTAGGAGGGTAAGATTAGAATTAGGTTGTTCTATATAAGCTCACGGTAAGGGGTTGGGAATAGGCATTTAGCTGTGATGGTTAAAGTTAGACTGGATCCTTGCAAGTAAAGTACAAACCAAGATGCAGAAATATAAGTGTAACTACTCATTGTACTTTTTAAAATATGAAGTTTATGTTGACAGAGAGACGTGGAGGCTTTGGTATGAATTTCAGTACAGTTGCTCAGCACATGATGATGAGTAATAGAAGCACGATGACAGTTATCATCTGTGTCCCCTGAGGTGAATGGTTTTGTTTGATTTCAACAAGTCAGTGTATCAATAGTATGATATCCTTCATTGGTATAATTAAACAGACAAACAATGAAACACTCCGAGCTACAGCAGCTGAAGAAGGTTTATAAGGACGACATTTCTTTTCCTCTTCACAACTCGCTACCTGTTTCTGCAAGTGCAACTTCAGATTCATCACAACAAAGGTAAGAATGCAAGACTCACTCTTAGCCCTCAGCATAGCATCAAATATTGGATATTGATCTGTATTTTGTGTCCATATTTTGCATTTCCTTCAAAAAGAGAAATCTTTTTGCATTGCCTGATTTTACTCTCTGCAGTTTTATTTTAAAAGTTTGACATCTTAAAATAATATATTTTAACAGTTCCTGGCAATGCTGTTATAATTAATTCTGACATGTACTTTCCTAAGACTTTGAAACTTTGTTATTACTGCCGATCAATGCAGTAGAAAAATATAAACACAAGTAGTAATTGATGCCCTTGTGAGGAAATGTAAACAAACATATTCTATTTTTTCTCTGTTCATCTGTTTTGTGAGTCTTGAGTGTACATTTCTAATTATAGTTCATCATAAAAGGTGCCCAGTGCACTGCTGTATGTTTATGCCACAATGCAAATGTAGCTTTTCTGGGTACATGAAGTGTTATATTTACTTTTATATTTTATCTTTACATAGATGGCATCAGTTCTTTGTTTTGCTGTGCTTTTGCTGATCAGCCGACAGCAGCTTGTAAGTAAATTCTATAGAAATACTTGTATTATTAATATTTCTTATGTTCCATTCTTTGTCATGTTTTTAATATCACCAAAAGTATGTAAGTATGTAAATTCAGTTAATGTTTTGTTTTAGCAAAATGGCTGAAGAATTGATTGGATTTAAAACACTTTAAAACATAAACTAACCAGTTTAAAGTTAACTTGCTGATAATGTGTTCTTTCTGTTTACAGCTGACATCTGCAGCTGACGGTGAGTTCTACAAGCATTTGCTCTTTTTTTATGGTTTTATTCATTCAAGTGTGATTAAAAGAAATATGTGCATGTTGTAAAGGACTGTAATATTAACTTTCTTCTGCCCAAAACAACAAGTCAAGGCTAATAAAAACTAAAATACCTGCAGGAAAGTGTATCATATGTGCACGTTTCTGTTTCTGAAATCATGGACACAAACTGAAAATATTGTGTCCAGCTTCTACACAGTAAATTCGAATTAGTTAACCTGCAATAGTTAAAAAGCATGCAAATCTGATCACCTTAAAATAACTAAATAAAGTGGAATACGAATTGCATGTTGTACTAACAAATGCTTATTTACTGTAGTCAAAAAAAACTGCACAGAGTACTTGACAATTTTCTTTAGATGTACTCTTGACTACTCAGAATTACTATTTCAAATAACTAAAACATTCATGTAGAAGCAAGACTGACTTGAATTGTATAAAGACTCATCTTTCCAACATTTCCAGGTGGCGCCTGCTCTGGTTGGATTCCGTTAAGTGGTCGCTGCTTCAAGTATTTCCAAACTCCAGAGTCTTTTGCCAAAGCAGAAGTAATTGTGCTATCATTCATAGCATAGCAAAAAAAAAAATCTGCCTCCATTTTTTTTCTATCTATTTTAACTTCTGTTTTTGTCTCCCTCTTTAGTCTCACTGTGTTTCAAACGATTCCCATCTGGTCTCGCTCAGAAGTAAGGAAGAGCTCGAATTTTTGAGAACTCTGGTGTATATTGTGAATGCAGACATTAAATCTGTCTGGACCGGGGGCTATAATAGACCTGAGGTGAGTGACTTTACAGATAGACAGATAGATGTTGGTAGTACTGTATAGATCGTTTGAGTATGGAAAATTGACTGTTACAGGATTCAAAGTCTGAGCTGACCTTTGTCTATGCTCCTCGCTGCCACAAGGGGGCCAAATTACAAGTTTTGTTCTTTTTTAGGTTTTATTTAACTAGTAGGCTATTGTCCCAAGTTGTTGAACTGGTTTTAACCTCAATTTCAATAAGAGCAAACTACAATGTAGTACTAAAGTGGCTTATTTTGATGGGTTCAGTCATGTTAAAGGGTTAGTTTAAAATTTCGGGAAATACTCTTATTCTTTTTGTTGCGTTAGATGAAAAAATTTAATATCACTGCCGCATGTGTGCAGTGCTGTAAGTACAGAGCTTGAGTCAGGAGGTGATAAACTGTAAATACTAGGAACGGGAGGAAACAACGAGCCTCACTTTTTCAGAAGTAAAATAAAAAATTGTGCTTTCCACTAATGGCTTCCACCACGGCTGTATTTTGAATTAGGTGCAGCAGGGTGCAACAAAGCTGCTGTGACTCCTGTTTGCCTCCAGATCCTACCAGCCTGCAGGTTACCCCCCAGGCTGCTGCTATCCACTATCCACCTAGTAGAATTACATCACACAGCTAAATAGACAGGTTTTAGCTTAAAATAGAAATAGAAAATATGACAGTTAATTGCAAGTGTTGCTAACTAGCATCATAAACATCTATTGTCTACGACTGAATAATAAGACTTAAAAAATAACCATGAGAAATAAGACAAGATCAAGAAAACTATTTTTGCATTTAGGGGGAGTTACTGTGTGTAACACTTCTTGATGAACAATTATCTTGTTCAGTGTCTCTAGTGGTTGCCTAGCAACCTCACTGTGATGACAGTCCTGCCCCAGGCCGTTGTTTGTTAAGATATATAGAGCATCTCCACATATCTCTGCGCATTGTTGTGATATTTGTGTTCAGATTAAACAAAAAGTGCAATTCAGTGAGCTAAACTGTACTATACCATGCTACAGAAAACACTCTGGTGTCCATTAAATGCCGCTGCTACAGTAACAATACTTATGATTCATAATACATCAAGTCAGTAGTGAAACTACCATGGGTTAAGCTGACTACAGGCATAAAAATGGATAAGGATTTAAACACAGACCCTGATTTTGGACATGGTATAAGTGTTATAATGCTTAAATAATTATTTTTGGGCATGTTGAAAGAGGTTACTTTGCTTAAAGTTCCATCACATCCTTATTGCCACTACTGTTTTGTCCTGTCTCCCTCTCTGAGTTTTTGCATGGATCGACTGCTGTGTGACCCCAGAATGCAGTTTAGAGCAATGTGGTTGTCTTAATCCTCAAAAAGGCTTGTGCCAGCCCGTTTCACAGCCATGAAGATTTTGTTACTGAACCTTTACAGTGTTCACAAAGCAAAGTTCAAAGGTAAATGTTCTGAAATTAAGCTTCATCTTTCAGGATGAGGAATGGAAGTGGTCTGATGGTACCACGTTCCCTCAGATCCTCTGGAACTGGGGGGAGCGAAACATTGACACTGTGGGAAACTGCATGGTGATGAACATCCCAGGTACAAAATTATTATTTGTTGACATATTGGTTGTGATTCCTCTTGAGAGGGAACATGGACATTAATCTATTTTCAACAATACATTTTAAAATGTTATTGTTTTGAAAAAAATTCTTTGTGCAGATGAAATGCCTTCTTATGTTTCTGTTTTGTGCAATTTTTTACCAGTGTCCGAAAGTGTTTATTTTGATAACCTGAAGTGTACAGAAGAAAGATCTTACGTCTGCAGCAAGGACATGTAATGGCCACCAGGTCGCATCCTCCACGATGATGACATCACTCCCACTGAGATGTCAGGCCTCGATGACATCAACGCGGGAAAGTTTATTGCTAATTTTGATCCACTTCCAATTCACTTTATTTTATTCTCAATGTAACAACAATCTCAGACCAGAAATCTACACTTCAGTCTGCAGATTTTGGTTTCATTTAATAAACTTTACTTGTGAATTGAAAGTGAACTTAAAACTACTTGCATTCAATAAAGACAAAAAAAATAAAAAGTCTATTACTGTCATTTCTCATATATACACATCCAGGTTAATATCTTGTAATAGCCCAAATAATAATAATAATAATAATAATAATAATAATATGAAAGATCTGCTTACCTCACCTTTTTAATTGTGTTGTAATATTCTGAACAGGCCCTAATGATCACTTTCATCCAGGATAT